ACTTTCCAGAGCATTTCGTGCTTTGAGGTTATCTCTTCAAGAACTAGACAAGTATTATGGAAACATACCTCAAATTTGCCACCGCGAAACTCCTTTGTTTTCTGATTTGAAGTTAACCCAATCGGAAGAATCCGAAGAAGCCACAACTTACAAAGTTCGAATCAGTTCCTAATATGGTAGTTATCTGCTTTGGGAGGCTATACTTCAAGCGGACAAAAATGCACAAGATCATTTAGTAGTGTACGTGAAAGCTGTTCAGAGAAAATATTACTCACTTCAAGCGCAGAATATTCTATATGAGAATGGACGACATGCTCCAGGTATCATAGACGCCACAGATAGGCCTGGAGGTTGGCTTTTGGTCTATATGGAACGTCTGCAAAATCATGTAACATTGGATAAATTCACCCATACCCTTGATAATAGTGAGCGTGATACCCTAAAAGCGGAAATCATTAGAGTGATTAAAATTTTACATGAGAAAAATTTTGTGCATGGAGACTTGCGCGAGGGAAACATTTTAGTTTGCTAAAATAGTGCAAGAGATTGTGGTTTTGATGTGAAGCTAATCGATTTTGAATGGTCAGGAGCTGTTGGAACTGCATGTTATTCGCATTTTATGAATCATATCGCTATTCGTTGGCCAGAAGGGGCAGAAGATGGAAAGAAAGTCACGGTGGAGCACAATATCATGCTGGAGAAGACTTTTCAGAAAACAAATTTGTCGCAAGATTCTATGTTGGTTGATTAGTGATGAGTGATAACATTATTAATTTTCACTGTAAATCGTTGAAAACAATTATTCTAAATAAGTTATAGCAATTTCACATATCGTAGTCATTTAAGCGTGATCTTTTAATCCAATATGTTCTACATGCGGTGTAACGTGTATAATAATAAAAAATTGTTCAGACGCTATCATTTTCCATCAATGAATAGGCATCATTGACAAATAACAAATAAAGTATAACCTTTAACTTGTAAATGTAAATAAACTGCTCCGTCCCTGATACATAAATTCAACGAATCAAATTTTTGCCGTGAGTAATCATAAGTGGACAGAGAAATGGATACTTTCCTGGACAATTTACATAAGAAAAGCATTAGTGATGGGATAAGGCAACGCAATAACTATTGCGTGAATCGGAGAAAAAATGAACAGGGATTGATTCAAGAAATGATTTTATTCAAGGAAGAAAACATGTACTGAAGTTTCGCCCATCTTAAAAAAGTAAATCAAGGAATTATCTGATCCTATTACACAGCAAATTTATTCCGATAGTACTATTTCTTTGCAGACGTTCCCCGATATGGATATTGACTCAGTTAATTTTCGTGAATTAAATGACAGGATCATCGAAGCCGAAGATGACAATAAAAAAATCGGTCTAGTACTGATCCATTCATATTATTATTTTGGGAAAGGGTATAGATTATGGTTTGATCATTATAAAAAATCATATAGTGATGATACTTCTAATTCTCTAGTTAATGATAAAATTCGTGAGTATTTTCCAGGCCAAGATAAAACTTCGGAGGCTAATCTTAGAAAAAGGAAGGAAAAGGCAATAAAGATTTTTAAACTGTTTAATGGGATTGGGAAAGATAAGATAAATTGTGTTAAAACTTTTTTCGCATCATCTATGATATTGACTAAATAATAACTAAAATTTTGAAATCTAAACAGTGAGGGAGTATACTGCGCCAAATTTTACTCAAGTGTGAACATGCGCCGATATTTTCCGATTTTGGGGTAAGATAAATTTTTACTCAAGTGTGAACCTATGTTCACAGTTGCCAAAGTATTTCCATTTTAATATTTTCTAGACATGTTGGAAAAGATTTTATCTTTTTTTTCTAACATCTCTTGCGCAGACATCATATAATTAGCCAATAGATCCTGCTTCTATTGGTTGGAAGTGTGAAGAGTCTTCACGATTGTCATATGACACAGCATGTATTGGCGGGTCTTAATAAAAAAAGCTAGAATAGAGGAATATGGTTCTAAGAAATAATCGTATATAATAGTCTAAAGTCATAGAATGACATCATATACCCAGGGCTAATCCTGCACCATGTAATTTATTTTAGCTTAATGTATTGCAAATAAAAAAAACGTGTTGGCAAAAGACCTTGAAATGACCTTGAAATGACCTCAAATGACCTTATTGTTATTATAATGACTACATTGCTCAGGTCACTTGGTACCCTAAACCAGTGATGGCAAATTATAAGGTCATTTGACTTGAAATTTAAATATTTTCTTGTGGCGATTGGTACAATCTTTTAGACTGTACATACTAATTTTTATTGCTCGACCGGAAGAAGCGTATATGCATGTTAATACAGGGTAATTTATGAAATCTGGATCAGCAAATTATTGGGCAATTAATATTGCCAGCGAAGATCCAGGGACTTTTATTCTTCCTCCGGTCAAACTTTCTCGCATATTCTCAAAATTATTATGTATATTATTGTAACAGGACCCCTTGATGATCTTTACATATGGATAGCGTTAAATTCTTTTATTGTTAAGTTAAGGAAAGGACGTTGATCAGATTTTCGTGATGCGATCATATTAACGTAATTTCCCCAAAAGCATATAACAAAAACTGTGAATTATATAAAAAGGTGATGACCTAGTTAGTGAATCATTTTACCTGCCTTGTGCAAGTAAAACGAAAAAATCAAGCAAACTATTATTTACATCATCAATATTATTTTTATTATAAATAAAAAGTATATTCCGCAAAGTAAGTTGGTTTATTGCTCGGCCAGCTTCTTGGAACATGTCATCACGATTTTAATCGATTTTCCCGCCTCTATAGATGTTTCAAAATAAAATGGATATATTACTCTTCTTGTTATATCGGCATTTTGATCTTCGTATAATAGGCGCAGTATCATAAAAATAATTCCGATATTATCTTATCTAATCGCTCCACGTGCACTATCAGCGCAGTAAAATTTATGATAAGCAGAACGATACTTGGCGCAGTATTGTACTGCTGATAAAAAAATTAAGTGAAATTTCTCGGACTGGAATGTTCTGAAAATGAATCGTAGTGATAAGTGTGATCGGAAATATTGCTTATTTTTTTTCTCAATTGCTAATCTTCCGAATTTATACTGTAGATTCGAAATTACTTTATCTCGGGAAAGTTCTCTTGTGGGAAATAATCTTTTACATAGTCTATGGGGGGATGATGGTGTTATAGATAGACCGAAATTCTGTAGATACGTAGTTAGCAATAGAGATAGAAATAAGTGATAAACTGAAATCATATGATAATCACACTCATGGCTGTGCAACGATAACAGATAATCTTCCTCAAACTTAAAAAAAAAAAATATTACCTCTGGTCATAACTTTACTTACAAGATGTTTAAGACGTCCAAGATCGACGAAATGTATCCTGGCCGAACGAGTAAGCATAGTAATAAAATGCTGGGAAGAGCCTTCTGGTACTAATCATGTTTTGTTTCGAAAGTCCTTGTAGATTATTTGAAAGAGCGTGAATCCCATCTTTGGTCGTATATAGATTTTTTAACCTTAAACCGTACCCTTATTGTAAAAACACTACCGCATTTGGACGAACAGAAAGTCCTTGACGGTGCGTGGACCAAACGTTTCCTGCTAGCTGTAGAAGAAATGAGCCCAGAGTCAGCTGACGATATGAAAAGAAAAATAATTTTTTTTCGTTTTAGTTCGGCAGAAAGGAGTCTCCTTGACAGGTGTTACCTGCGCTTGGATTATCAGAAGTTTTCTGATCCGAGTGATGGTGTGAGGCAACTCCTTGACAGGTGTTACCTGCGCTTGGAGCATCAGAAGTTTTCTGGTCCCACCATTGCGAACCGCTTTGTTTTGTTTCAGTTTGGTTTGTTGGGTTGATGGAACAATGAAATATATATCCTAATTATCTACTCAATTTAACAAGGTGGACCTGGAGCATACCAAATTCAACTTGTCTTCCTTTTGGCAGGAAGTGATCATTGAAAGACTACAGGTAATTCAGTATCTGCGTTAGCTTCTAAGTTATTAATACATTTTTTCCTGAAAGAAACATTTTATAATTAATAATAGAATAAAATTCAAAG